CAAAGGAATCACTGAAGTTTACCAGGCTGGAAATTTTAGGGACTAGAGATTACCTTCTAAGCAATTCCAATGCTGAGTAGATCTGTGTACATGACTTTAGCTCTGCCATGGACTAAAATTTTAAATAGTGATGGGCAGTTCTTGGTCTCTTATTCTTGGAGGTAACTGACTTAAGGAATGAAGAAAGAATGATTCTCGGAAGAGAACAATCCCTGTGCTTCTGTAAAGTAAACCATTTAAAGATAAAAACCTAAAACTTTAGCCACGTAAAAATGAGGCTTTTGAAAATACTAATAATCTGATCTGTGAGAGTCTTCCTGTTTGTACACAGGCTCAAATGTTTTCAGAAGTAAATTAAGGGTGAAATGAGGATGAAGCAGGAATTTTTCCATGAGATTATTTCTTCTTTGTACAACTAGGGGAGCAAAAAGTTCTCTGAGAAGCCCTATGACATTTCAGAGAAAGAGGCAGTCTCCCAGAAGTTCTGCGAATATCCTGACCTTCCTAAAGCTAACATTTCTACATCACCCTACTCATAACAGCTCAAAAGTATGATGCAAACACCGGTCAGTCTCTGCAGTGCTCCACTCTGACCTACTTGGCCTTCATCACAATTATCCTGGACGATCAGTGTCTGGGTTATTCACACTGCACAGCAAGCCCTATGTGTCTATGCTGACCCTACATCCACTCATTCCTGTTAGTAGACTTCTCGAGGCATACCATAGCCCATAGCTTATAACAAACTGCAAATGAACTGAGGTGGAGGGGATGACACTTGCCTGTTAGTAAACAAACAGTTTAGCTCTCAGTCTCCTGTAAGACTAATGCAAATTAAAGTGGTCCCTGAATTCCAAACTGAATCCAAGCATGTAACCACTTTCCAAAGAAAAGGAAAAAAAAAAAAACCAAACTTTTTAAAAAGGAACAGTATTTGGGGTACTGCTCCACCAAGAACCTGAATTAACCCCATGTGGCATACATAACCTTAGTGACAAAGCTATATACTTTTGGCCCCTATGTAGTCCTTTGCTTTAGTTTGGGAAAAAAAGCACAAAACCTTAAACTGAGCAGGTGGCAGAAAACACAGCATAATGCATTTTTATGGACCTTCTGTATGTCCTTTCCAATATGCAGGGAGATAAATTCTCCCTTCACTTACATTCATGCAGTCCCACTCAAATCTTGCAGTTTAGTACCACAGCAAAATTCATCTGTGAAAATCATGCTGTCCATGATGCATCCATTAAAAAGAAAACAAACAAAAAAACACCAAAAAAATCTCAAAGGCCTGACCAAGTACCACAAATGCTTGCCAATTCTCATCCCTTAACTTGCCAGTCACCTTGGCAAACTACCTATGGATTTGTATCCCTAATGGGTCCTTCATTTATCTCAATTTCTCCAGTTCTAAAAAAATAGTAGTGATACATACCCAACTCCTAAGTTGTGATATGAAGCTTAATTAATATCCTTTGCTCTTCAGTACCAGAAGAGACTTACAGACGAAGGATGCCACAGGGACATAATGACAAGCATATTTGGGTGTATCTCTGTACAATATGAACTTTTAATATTATTCCAAAATGAACACACATGCAAGAGGTGTTCAGACTTCTGTAGTTCTGAATGTTATCTCAGGAATGTCAAAGCTTAAAACCTAAGAAATAATTGCACTATAAGCTCATGCTAATGGCTTGTTTTGCAGATGGAAAACTAAAACCTTACGTTTTCTTGTTAGCAGAGAGTTGACACTGGTTTATTTCTTTCAAAAATACTTACAAAAGCCAGGATTTCTCTGTATATATGTGACCTTGATTCCTAGATGGCACATGAACTACTTAGAGATCATGTTACTAAGTTATTTGCAGTTAAAGGGAAAAAAAAAAGAGGCTAAAATTAATGGGTCACTGGGTATTTTCTTCTGAGAACTTAAGTACTTAACAGTAAGAAAAAAAACAGTTTACAGCCAGGTGGCTTGAGGGGATATTTTGTTGAACACTGATTAAAAATAATTTCTTCTAAATGAGACCTGACCACAAAATGGGACCATTAACGAGCAGGGACATTCTCACCAGAAAGGAAACTACGCTTGATCAACTCCTGCACCGCCCACAAACCCCAGGTCTTTTTTTCTCTCTCTCTCTCACACACACTCTCTTTTTTTTCTTTCCCCTTTTTCTCCTCTCCCCTTTTCTTGTTCTTAATAGCAGGGTAAATAAGCAGCAAGTGATGCTGAAATGTTTTCGGCCAAAAACAGAGGCCGAACTCCTCTGAGAAAACATTTGGCCTCTGTGGTTTTGTAATATGTTCCAGAACACTGAGTTCACTGAAGAACATTGTGAAAAACTCCCATCGGCTGGAGTGATGCTGGGGAATGTTACTGTATCCCAACTTCCAATTGGTCCATTTCCTGCAGGCCTTGTTAAAGGGGGCTGTGTAAAAAAAAAAAAAAAAAAAAAAAAAAAGAAAGAAAAAGGAAAAAAAAATAGTGCTATGTGGGAGTTAAAACAAGTTCTCATGGGAAAAATGAATGGCAAGAAATTCTAGCTTTAAAAGAAACAGCTAATCTGCTAGTTTGATTGTTCTTCAAAACTTACAATGAACCAATAATCCTAATTAAAAACACTTGGCCTAGTTCTCTAAAGCATCATAGCTTTTTCTATGCTTCGTTTGTACACACCATAGACTATTAGTTTTTTTCTAGTGCTCACTAACAAAGTGCTGACTTTGTTGGGATGGCTGAGCTAATTTCGTGAACTCAGTGTGAAACCTTAGCTAAACAAAATTGTGGTAATTTTCCTTAATTTGTAAAAGTGATTGGAGTGCAAACAAAATTTTCCTCTTGGGTCAATCCTATAATTTTCAATTAACTAAAACTAATCGGCAGGCGTGTACTGAACCTGCATTTTGTTTAAAGGGCTGGAAGGCACTTCTGAAGGTCAGGATGCATTAATAGTTTTTATTTTAGCTCCCTTTAGTCTTTTTTAAAAAGCCACATTTAAGTTCAGGCTGCCTCTAAAACGAAAATGCAAATTGTGTGAGATAGGATTTCAGTCACAATAGCTTTTCTGTATCTACCGTAGCTCCATAAAAGCTGCATAATTAAGAGAATTGTCCATGGATTGGATCATCTTTGATTTTAGCATTGTTGTTTGGTATTACATAACTTTCATTTATTGAATAAATATAACGTGTTTTAAACACTAACCTGAAATGCATATATGGAAATGCTCTCCCTAGTGGGACACCTTATTTCCACATTCAGCCATCTGCTTCTGGGCAGACAAGCTAAACTGCTGCCTTCCTTTTTACTGGCATAGCTAATTAATGATGATCTGAAAAGCAAAACCGAAATGGGTCCAAGCCATTTTCACATTTAAATCACAAAATGAAGTCCCGAAAAATGTCTTTGCAAAGTCAAGGGGGGACAGGTTTCCTCCCTTTCTTCTTCTGCATGCATACTTGCCATTTCACCAGCCCAAGAAGCAGCCACCCTGGTGGCTTGACAACAAGCAGGACAGCACAACTTACTGTGAGTAAGAAAGTGAGAAGGGAAAGTATTCGTGGTCACACTGTCCAGAGCTCTGGCTGACACTTTCATGTGGTACACACCGGCAATTTGCACCAGTTAACAATCTGACCCTCTGCTTTTGCTTTTTGTTTTGTCCTGACACATTCAAACCCTAAATAACTTTTCTGATACGGGGCGTTATTGTCCAATATATGAATTTTCCACACATTATTAAAGTCATAATGTTCACAATAAATGCACACAGACTCCACAAGAGCCTGTTGCTCAGCTAGCAAGGCAATATGTGAATACTTTAAGACCCAGTTTAAAGGAACCTAGTGCATAATCCCAACTGAGGGAGAGGGTATTTGAAAAAGACAACAAAGCTTTATAAGGCACCTTTGTTCAACTTGTTCAGTGTTAAGAAAAACCAAAGGAGAGCCTTGCTACCCAGCTGGAGCACAGAAGTCTCCCCCCTGCCTTGAGTCTCTGTGTGTACATTCACAGCTGGAGCAAAATATGTGCCCAGTGTAATTCAGAATGCCTCATAACCACAAGTATTTATCATATATCTTATTCTTAAAATTCCAAGGGCAGTCAAGAATGGGGAAAGGAATTGCACTGGGTTGCGATGAACCACAGTTCAGGCAAACGGTTACAGAAATAGGCAGTCCTGTCTGCATGTGTGAAACAACAAGCATATAAAAGGACAAGAACACCAAAACCTGGACCAAGCTATTAATTCTTGTAGGATTCATACCTTCCAAGGAACCAACAACACACATTCATTTAAAAAAGTTAGGCTGCTACTTGATTTATTTCCCAGGCCATTCTTATCACTACTGAGAGTGGTTTAACATTGACAGCACCTGCAATGTCCTTGTGTGTTTTTTGTAAGTGTTCAGGCCAAACCCACTGGACTTAGTGGTCTCAGCGTGGGATGCAACCCCAAAACACACTGCAAATCACTATGTCTGCAGCATCAGCTGGGGTGAAAGCTACTTAGCCTCCCTGGAAGTCAGAGTCAAATATGTAGTGGTGAGATGGGCAGGCAAACAGGCTGCTACTTAGAACATTTGCAACATTTGCCGGACAATGTGAGATGAAGATATTTAGCAGGATGTTTCTTGGAAGGCAGGTTTGTGATTGCACTACTATGCCTGGCTCTTTATGCTTGCACTCTTCCTCTGTTTGTTTGAGTAGTGGAGTATCTGTTTCTCTCTTTCCTTCCCCTGCCTGGGTAAAGAGATGTCCCACTGCGAGGACAAACAAGCAAACAAAAATCCCACATTGGTATGTTTTCAGATTCATCTCTATGGTCATCCATGTCTGAAATCTGACCTTAAATTGGTATCTTCAATGACGTGCTCAGCCAAAATAACAAAATACAGTACAGTTTTTAATGACAAAACCAGAAGTCTGAGGAAGCATGATATATTGCCTGCCCTATTTCTCCACATTATATCTAGTACTAAAGCATCCTTACCTGTGTAAATGAATCTTCCAGGCGTTCCCTTGCAAAACTGCTTAGACTTGTAGGACAATGTGACTTCTACAACCCCTGGGATATGTCGGGGAGGCGTCTGTACACGGATGGCATGTGGAGTAATCAGCTAGAGGAAAACAGAGAAGGGAGAAGAAAGGGTAAAAAACTACTGTTAGATGCTGAACACTAATAACACTTTCCTCTCAGATCACAGTAAACAATCTTTGAAACATGTAATTAACCTGTCAATGTTTGAATACAATCTTGATGTAACCCACACAAAAGCCAGTGACTACAATATTTACAAGCGTTCTCCTCCTCAGCCATAACAACATTATTTCTGTTTTCATACATGGCAGGCACTTGCTTCTTAGTACAAGCATTAGCCCTGGTTTAATGCAATAACTTTAGCTTACAGCAGCAGGATGTGTGTTTGCTCAGGTGAACAATGGGGTCATCACAGTGTCCAACAAATCCAATTGATGATACACAGTTAGATGTGTGAATATGGCACAGCTCAAGCCAAGGCTGAGATTCACTGCTCAGCCCATGCCCAGGCAGGCTTTTAAATGCACTGCTCCCCAGCTGGCATCCATACCCTGCAAAAGCACTATGTGCTGCTGGGTTTATTTTCTATTCATTTTCTGGAGGTATAACTGATTACTGCAGAAGTGCAAAATTTGGCTTCTGAAGGATGATGGATCTTACAAATGATCAGAGCACTCAAGAGATACACCAAATATAACCATCTAACCATCACTTCCAGTCTTGCCTTCATTGCAATGACTGACGTCTAAGAGGGCTCCTGCAGATGTGAATTTATGTATTAAGAAGTAGACAAACTTAACTTTCTTGGTGCTAGGGTTGGGAATCCTGATCATCTTAACACAAAAGGTTGGGATGGGTCAGTGCTGCACTTCCCATGCTTTAGACCATTTTTGCTCTGTCAGGATTCTGGACTGGATTTAAAACATAGTCCCTGAAATTAATATAAGACCCATCTAAGAGTTCTTTGATTTATGGCAGGTTAACTCAAATCTCTGCTGCACTCAGAAACTACAGCATTGTCCTCCCCATCACTGAAATGTCCTCACTCATTATTCTCCCTCAGACAAGAATAGGGAAAAGAGGTATGTAGAAAAGCTTCCATGATTGTGTCCAGCAACCAAGATACAGCTCGGGCACACGGAGCCTTCTCTAACTGACCGTGGCACATTAACACATTTCTAGAGAAGCAAACAAGACCAAGACCATAACCAGCCTTGACAGTGAACAAAGCCATGGGCACCCTGTGCAGACAGTAAACTGCTTTGTGCTGTTGGTTGAATCATTTCAAAATGCCTTTTTTTTTTTTTTCCTCCTTAATAAATACCTAACCTTATTCGTATTTTTACTAGGAACCAAATATGTCAAAATCATGCTAAATTCTTACAAAATTTCAGATTTTTAACTAGTTCTTTGTTTAGGGCATAGGACTAAAAAACCACAGGAGAGTATTAGCTGTCTGAGAGCCATCTGTGTTACTGAGGGAAATGGCATACACAGTAGGAAGTTCTCCATATTTAAAATAAGAAAATTAAAATTGCATCAAGTTGAAGATTAAAACCAAAACTGTCAGCATCAAATGCTCCAAAAGTTATTCAGATCCACAGAAGTCATAAGTCATATGTCATTTTAGAAATGACCATGTAGGAATTGATGCCGCCTTGTTTGTGAGCTCCAAAGAACACATTTTGAGGCTTTGCTTTGAAAGCATGTGATTTAGAAACTTATTTATTTTTAAAATAAACCTGCCTTTTTTCTAAATTACTCTATCAGCTGGGTAAAAAAAAAAAAAAAAAAAAACAAAACAAAAAAATAACCAAAACACCAACAACCAAACTTCCACAATTGCTTTTACTTCAACTGAATTATCTTACAGTTGGGTTGACTGAGCCTAAAAGTCACAGCGAACTGTCTATATGCCCTCAATAGTCAGGAGGCAGAAAGCACTGCCAAAGAGCAATTTATTTCCAGTGCTATAGACACCTCTCAGGTTGGGATGAGCTGCTCTCTGGAAGCATCTACCTTTCTCCAGTGACCCCAGATGACAAGTTCAGACTCGATGCTTAACTGTAGGCAGCCAAACATAGCTGAGATAAATCCCCTCCATAAGTGGTTCTAGTTAACTGGGTGAACTAGCAAGATGGGAAAAGTTTCATGACATTTCTAGAGGGAAAATATTGTAAAAAACAGCCATGGATTTTAGTAGTAAAGGTTAAAATGCTACATCAGCATGTGCCTTGCACCACTCACCCCCATTCTAGCGTGAGCTACACAGGCAGCTTCTGGTTGTATCTTTGAATTTCCCAGCATTTACTGGTCTGTCACCACTTTAATGTTTTTTAAACATGATTTGTGGCATTTTCCAATACTCATCTTCCCTGGTTCCCAAGAAATGTCTGACCTATTTATGGTCCATTGTTACAGAGAGCTGGGGAGAGTTAAGCAAGTTTCCTGGTTTGTTCTCCACAAACAGTTTGGTTTTCCTTTGTGCACTGAAGTAAATAAGTTTAACTGTGTTTAAAACCACAAATATACAATAATGTCGCCCACACATTCCCAAAGGGTGAACATTATGCCTGAAGTCCTATGGTTTAGGATGCTCAGGATGTATTTTACTCCTCTCTTTTCTAGAACTAAGACTTGGGAGGTATACCAGAAGAATACACATGCCTTTTACTTTTTCTCCTTAGCATCTGCCAATGACCACTGTCAGTGATACAGTGCTGAGCTAGAAGGACCTTTGTTCTGGGTCAACCTTCGGTTCTCATGTGTACAAAAAGGAACTAGCTAGCTCATTTACACACCAGTACTCCCCTATATTGCTGCCACATCAAGAAATTGTCTTTAACAGACGATGTTCCCTTGCACATCGAAACCTCCCCTCAGAAGCCCACCTTTGGTCTCGAAGTGATTCCCAAGTGCTGTCAGGATCTGCACTATGGAGCAGGACCAGTGCTCCGAACTGCCCTGACTGTTTTGCAATCTGAATGACCCAATGGATACTGCACAGGTCTGGATACTCCATGCCCACCCATGATAAATTTGCTCCAACTTTGATAACTCCAGGATTATGGGATGTTTCCCTGTCTACACTGTCACCCTGTGGCCTGACCTTGGGAATCCACTTACCATGTTTTCTACTCTTGCGCTGACATAGCCTGTACCTTCTTCAGGTTAGTCTGTCTCATATTTGCATGTAAATCATCTGGAAGAGGTGAGCTATTTGCATCAAGGGATATTAAAAGCAAAGAATTCTTGGAGGCCTCTGAGACCCAAACAGTTGGAGACTGATAGAGTGTCCTGAGGAAGCACCATGACATGCTCACCCTGGTTTTTTTATAGACAGCTGTCATTGCCCACTGCCAAACCCAAGATGTTCTGACCTCAGGTGGGAACTTTTGGTGCATTAACAGCCATCAAAACAATTGTAGCAATGACATGCCAAGAACTAAGAACTTCCAAATATGAGGTGACATACATTTCTGACCTCATTTTTAAAATGTAAATCATGCGAAAGACATTAACCTGTGATTTGGACATGAACCCACCAGCCAAAATCCCACATCCAGCTTTCTCCTCCATTCCAGCTTTTGGCAAAATGAGGCCTGGAGCTGGACATAAACCTAGTAACGGGACCCTTTCTCCCAGGGATTTTCAAGCAAATTGGTCTGACTTGGCAACCGAATTATCTGTTTGATATAAACTCTTACATGTCAGTTGGGACATGCTATGGATTGTATTAAAACCTGAGTTAGAATGGAGGGAGGTGCATGTCCTTCAAAATCCAAAACACATTTGGTTTGAGTGTGTACAACAAGCCTCTTTCTGTGGTTTGCTAATATATTCTAGACATTCTTGTATGATACAGCATCATTTCACACTCTTCCAAGTGCCAGGTTACTTTCTTTTTTTAAAAGTGACATTTTGTAAGGAGATGTCATTAATCTGAGTCACTAGTTTATTTTTGCTTGCTTGAGCTCTGGTTTGTGGTTAGGGAAACGGTGACAGTCATAAATTTAACTTGGACTCTGTGTAAAGAGGACCAGTAGGACAGGAATGAAGAAAATGAAGAAACCCACCAACTGAAGGTAATGACAGTTTTCAGTGAGAACAGGACCCATACAGTACCTCTATTTTAAAAAATGACCAATGACTTCACATGCCTCAGTTCTGGGGATCCGGATGCTGCTTAATAAGCTTTGGGTTGCAAAAAGAGGGTGCCACTCATTTTTTAAAAGTGAGTCAGACTTCCAAAATAAGAACAAAAAAACCCAGAGACTTCCAAAATCAATAAGAAACATAAAAAGCAAAATAAAAACCTCTGTCACAAAATTTGATTCAGCAGCATTAAAAATGAATAAACGAATAACCCCAAAAGCAACAAAATCCCACCAACCCAAAAATCATCTTCTGGTTTTGCGTTGTACGAAGGTAAAAAAAATGATATTTCAGTGCTTCATCTTTTCTTAATATAAAAGCAAAAGAAGTTGTTTCCAGCTGACTCTGTACAGCTGGAGGAATGTTCTTGGCAGGAAAATGTTTGAAGAAATAGTTCATTTTAAGCAAATATTGTGGAATATTTATAAGAAACTAATTTTGTCTTCACAATCATGTATTTGCCCTGAAACTTGACTCTTGGAGTTTCAGCCCCCCAATAAGGGAGCGAAACAACAGGGGATTTTTATCAGCAGCTCGAATTTGGAACATTAGCAGCAACGCACAGACCCAGAACATTGGGTAAAAACCTGCAAATAACAACTCTGTCTGTCTGTGGACTGGACAGAGAGGCAGCGTCTATCTGGCAGACAGACTATTTGCTGGGAGTTGCCTGTCAAGATTCAGCATGTGCAGACGAGATACCAATGCCGTTTGTTGGTCAGTTATGAAAGTCTCTCAAAAAAAAGGCATTAGATAGCCCGTTTTCCTGTATTCTAAAAATATCGAGGGCTCATAAAGTCATTTTTATAAAGTAATATGGGTGTTAAGGATTAATTGAACTTACTGGCTTAGGGTATCTGCATTTCTGCACAAAATTAATGTGACAAATTAAGTTTTTATTTAGTTCTCCCTGGCTGAGAAAGGTTGCAATTATGTTAGAGTGTTTACAGCTAAAATATATGTTTAAATAATAAATATGTGTTTCAGAAACCATTTTAAACCTCCTTTTTTTAACACAGTCAACTCCATTTCAAGCATATAAATATTTCAATTACAAAACCTGAATACATGTAAAATAAATTAAAAATATATTATTTACATTTCAAATTATTTATAACATACACTGCTTGACAGCAACAAATTCACCCTTAAAATGAACATTCTTTTTGACTTTCAACTTTGCTTCTGAACCATGGAGGATTTATATTTTAAATATCCATGCATCTCAGGTATTTACACGGATTTCACTACAGCAAAGTCTGAGTAATATAGAAACTTTATGATAATTATCTTCACAGCACCTTTCCAAAGAAGGTGACTAATCTTATTACTATGTCAGAGAAAGGGAATTGAACTTTAAGCAGATTATGTGATTTGCCCAGGGTCCCATGCAAAGCCTGTTGCAAAATGATGCTTAATTTAAACATTAGACTTCATCCCCCTAACCACCTGCAGTTATAACTGAAAGTGAAGCTAGAAAAATCCATGTGAAAACATTGTGCAAGACTCACTCTTTTTCTTTAGTTTCCATCTATCTATCTAGTTTTGTTTCAGATTTCCTGCAGCTTAGTTAAAATCATATTTTGTTTGGATCCATGAAACAACAGAATGAACTTGAAAATTCTTCTTGAATTTAATTACAAAATAACCTGGCCAGGTTTGCTCAACCTGGCAAACTGGCAACTCAGGATGAACCTGCTCCAAGTTTGAAATGGTACTGAAATTCAGATCAGGAGTTCAAGTCTACACTCTACTAAAGTAAAAGACATATTTTTCCTGGGGACTGAAAATGCACTAAACACTTTTAGAAGTGGGAAGACAAATGAAAGAACTTATTTTGTACTTCATAGGTGGCTAGTATGTGTAATCTGAATTATTTATAGGTCACTATTATTTAGGGATCACTCAGACATCTCATGCATTTCTGCATGTTTGTCTGCTTCTTTTAGGAAGAACTCTTTTCCCTTATAGGATTTTGTATTGTTCTCAGAGGTTATGAAACTGAGAAGCAATTCTGTAAGGGAGAGATAGTGAAACAGTTCTCAAAGCCAACTTGCAGCCTGTTATAGCATTCACAACAAACAGACTGGCTTTGGTTTGGAACCCCTCTAACATTATTCATGTTATGACAAGGTCTGGCAACCACCAGCAACAACGTTTTGACCAGCACTCACTCTCCTGAGATTAGAAATTGCCAATTAATGGCTTCCGCTAATAAATAGAATCAAACTTTATAATGAAAGATCCAATTCTGCAGTACCAAAATCAGAGCACTTTCCTCCCACCTCTTCACCTTTCCCTGTTAAACGTCTGTAGCCATAATGGCTTTAATCCTAACACACAAAATGCTTACACTGGACCCAGGGGGCACTTTCATGATCACATAAGGGCTTCAGAATAGGGCTTATTTAATATATCTCCTTTTCTGGAATGCCCTTTCATTCACATTTGTCCTCAAGCAGAAGGATGAGAGAGGGAGAGGGAGAAAGAGAGGGAGGGGTAAAGAGAGAGAACAGTGAAGCCCATGAAGGACATTAGAGAATACTCTTCATATGGAAAAACACTACCATATGTACAACAGAATCAGTAGGGGGAATGTGCTGGATACAAACTAAGCTAGAATGTCAATTTAATATTTACAGGATATAAGGTAAAGCACCAGGCAATCCTTATGTAAGGTAAGCATTGTACAGCTACTTCAGAGATGCTTTTTTGTCTGTTAGTGTGTTTATTTGAGTATTGAAATAATGAAAATAACTATTTCCTACAAAATCTCAAAAATGCTTTTGGAAAATCATAAATGCAAAATATAAACCTTCCCTTGGAGCTGCCTTCCTGTGCCAGTGAAGCCAGTGGAAACTCTGCCCCAGTTTCTATGGCCCTACTCACTAGAATTGGCTGTTCATATGCTGCTTTCTACAGGCTTTTGGGGAATATCAGACTCCACATATATTTATGTGTCAGGAGAAGAGAGGATTTAAGAAACTGGGAGGAAGAGGAACAGTAAAAAATGGATAAGAAACTAAAAATGGGATACTGTGAAACTACAGAGGACCCCAGTAGGTATTATGAGGCTGTACTTTCCACTGTGGATACAACACTGTGTATTCAGTTGTTGTTATGAAAATGATACTTACGCCAAGCACCTACACTTTAAGTATATGCTGTTCACAGGCACTGAATTTCTTGAATGAAATCTCCACCTCATTGAGCTGCAGCTACAAGCAGCGAGCTTCCCTGGAAAGCAGGATCACCTAAACGTTTGTTTCCTGTGGGCCCTTAGCTATTGTGCTAAATGCAGAATTATTCACACACGCATTTATCCTTCCCTTTTCCTGGAATAAAAGACACCGAGCTAAATTCAGGGGCAGTGAGAGGAGATGCAAATCCCCTGGCTACAATGGATTTCTGCCACAGGTAAATTTGACTAATTATTTTCATAAAACTGAATGAGGAAAGGATTCACATCTCAACATTTGTTGCTGATTTAGCATGTGGCATAAAAAAGGACAGGCTAGCTGTAAGCTAGACAAAGCTATTAGACATTACCGTTCAGACAACACCTACCTCACTCCAAACCAGCATGGTGCCGAATATGACCTGTAACCCATCAAAGAAATTGTCTCCTATGATGATGACAGTGGCACCTCCTGTAGTCCATCCTTCACTTGGACTGATGGCTTTGATACATGGTGTAGCTGCTTTTCAACACACATGAAAAAGAGAAGTATTCTGCTGTTAGAACCAGATTTTAATGACAGAAGACTTGAGAAAAAATAAAATAAAAGGAGCTTTCATTTCCCCCCCTTACTAACACAAAGATTTCAGCAACCATGTTCTTTCTAGTACACATGTATGATCTCAAACTGTATCTTTGGAAGCATTTTCTCTCAATTAATTTCTGTTTGGTTTTGTTATCTGTATTGAAATAAATTAACTTTTTTAAAGCCTATATTTACAAAAAAAAACCCAACCAAAACCAACACAGCATGATGGGCAGAAACCAATCGGAAATCAGGACAAATCCCAATCTTTATTCTGTATGAAATGTGCAATTCCTGAGTTAAAACAATCTTCAGTGAGCTTGCTTTATTATACATCATAACCTAAATTCACCATTCAACTCCCATAAATATTATGGAAAATACTAGCTAAATAAAAAAGTGTGTAACCCTCTGTCATGGTTTAAGCCCAGCCAGTAACTCAGAACCATGCAGCCGCTCACTCACCCCCCCGCTTCTTCTTCCCCCTGCTCCCAGAAGGGATGGGGAGGAGAATCAAAAGTATGTAACTCCCATGGGTTGAGATAAGAACAGTCCAGTAACTAAGGTATAACACAAACCTACTACTGCTACCACCAATAATAACAATATGTGGAATAACAAGGGGAGAGGATACAATTGCTCACCACTGACTGACCGATACCCAGCCTGCCCCGAGCAGTTATCTGGGCCTTCAGAGTAGCTCCCCCCAGTTTATATACTGGTCATGACGTGCTGTGGTATGGAATACCCCTTTGGCCAGTTTGGATCAGGTGTTCTGTCTCTGTTTCCTCCCAGCTTCCCCTCCTCCCTGGCAGAGCAGAAGGCTGAGAAAGTCCTTGATCGGGCTAAATATTACTTAGCAACAACTGAAAACATTGGTATTATCAACATAGTTCCCAGGCTGAAAGTCAAAACCACAGCACTGCACCAGCTACTAAGGAGAAAAAATGACTGCTATAGCTGAACCCAGGACACCCTCAGGAATTCTTTAACTGTTCTGCAATCGGATCCAGGTTGTTCTAGTATTAAACCACCCTGCACTGCTTAATGCTTTGGCTACTACAGAAAAAAAACCCACAAAAAAACCAAAACCAAATCCCACAACCCTGCCATCAAGTCATTCCAGTTATGTTGCATCTACCAGACAATTAAGAAGCAGGTGCCATAATCATACAGTCTGTCCCCACTTTCAACAGTCATTTTCTTGGTACCACATGTACTAAGAGCCTCCTGAGAGGATGTTGAAAACTCAAGACCTGCTCCAAGTAGTAAGCTCAGATCTGTGTAAGGTTTTCTGGCATAAGACTATCTAAGCAGAAACATGCTTGACTTCATACATTGGTGGTATAGGGCAATATAAACATCCACATACTGATTTTCCTCCTCTGCAGTACTGGAGTACATCAGAACTTAACTGTGCTGAAGCAACATGAATAACATTACTTTAAAAATAAACTGACCAAGACAAAAACGCCTCTATAACTCTCAGCTGTAGAGTTTCAGGGTGGTCATATAGATCAATGTAAAGAAACAACTCCATCTCAAATGCCACCAACTTCTCCATGCTAATACAGCATTAGGCATAAATATGACACCACACCATTAGATAACATTTTAAGTAAAGCAGGTACCTCAACGATCTCATTGGCCATGAAAAAAGATTCCTTAAGGAAGAGCAAAACTCCCCCAGTCAATCTCAGTGTCGGAAAGAAAGACTCTTTCGGTATGAACCCAGTTCCCAGCAGCAAGAAGCTGCCTCCACCGAAAACACAAGAAGGGCTGCCATTGCCCACACTGATTCTGCAATGCCAATCAGCAGGGATGAGTTAACTGCGTATGTATATGTGCCTATATACCTCTTTCTTTCGGGTTGCTGGCATTTGGCTGTGAATTGCCACTTGGTTGAAAGGCTGGCTGAGCTGTTACTCTGGTTTGTAGCTTTGAGTATTTGATGACTTACTCAAGGGAGAACACTCAGGCACTTCATCAGGTAGGGACTTACCAGGAGGAGAGGGGTGTGAAAGCCACCCACATTAACACCATCCAGGACAATACCCTTGCACTTGTGAATTACTTAATGATGCCCCTGCCCTACATTCTTCTAAATCTAAATTAATTTACTTCTAACAGTAAATTAATTCATTCACAGAAGCCTACTTTAAAATGCTCCAGACATAAAGCACTAAAGAGACCCTATGAGTATTTAGTGACCTTATAGTGGGTTGGAGCTAATTGCAACTGTGGTGAGGCTGGTGAGAAGCTCCTTCCTCTCAGCCTCTGGGCAGGGTGGGTGTGGAGCTGGGAAGCAGGACGGAGCTGGAAAGGGAGCTGTTGAGTCACCCTTAGCAGTGAATGTTTCTGTGGGCACTGCTACAGACTCGCACTACCAGTGATGGAAGGCATGCATGGGGAGCAAACACATCCCATCCCTACCTACAAAAGGTTGTAAGTGTCAGGCACAAACTTTTCCACTACTTAAGCTGATGGGGATGTCAGCTTCAGTGAAAAACACAAACACGGGCAGAAAAAAAATCATTACCCTACTTCAAACTTGGCAGAGCACAACCATTAACTTTTACATGAGCTAACAAAAGAAACATCCTAACATTACCATCATGAAAATGTAGCGCGCACACAGAAGTAACTTCAATATGTTTAATTTGGATTCAAGTTACTTGCATAAAACTGTGCATAAAAACCATTGCAAAGTCCAATACCAAATGCTTTCCTTTCAGCCGAGCTCATGGCAAGGGATTTACAGTGAAAGCAGCTTTTCAAAATGCCATCCAGCCATTTCACAGAATCAAGCTTTTTCATAAATAAAAATTAAAATCACTTCCAAATTACACCCTTTCCAGTATTTCCAGTTGATTGTAGATGCACACCCCCCATAATAAAACCTGAAGAAAATCAGTTTCCCATGTGTCAGAGAAGGAGATACTTTTCTTAAAGACTACAAGCAACATTTTTTTTTTCCTAAATACCAGTGAATAAAAACTGTTTGAGGCTATAAGCCATTAACAGAAAACACATGCAGGCTTCACCGAAAAGGTTGTCAAGCATTGGAACAGGCTGCCCAGGGAAGTAGTTGAGTCACCATCCCTGGAGATATTTAAAAGACATGTAGATGTGGCTCTCAGGGATATGGTTTAGTGGTGAATTTGGCAGTGCTGGGTTAATGGTTGGACTTCATCTTAAAGGTCTCTTCCAACCTAAGTGATTCTATGATTCAAAATTATAGATTCAATTAACTTTTACAATGAATGCAAGATACTGTTCTGCAGTTACAGGTCCCCAATAAGGGCTACTTTATTATCCCTTATTATCTTATGATGTTCTTTGCGGTACCTACATTGCACTCAGAGGTGGAAGGTGCTGCACTGTCTGTGCTGCTTCATGTATTTTATACATATACATTCTTAATATCAAAAAATGTCAAGTACCATGGCAGCCAGGGAGAATTTGAGCAGACATTCAGGTCCTTGTGCTGAACTGGGGCTGTGGATGTTCATTGAGACACTCTTGCCCACAAAATCAATGTAACCACTCACATGTGTAATGTTATAAATTAATTTTA